CAGCGCTGGACTGTTTACGAACAGGAATTATATGCTGTTGTTAGAGCCTTAAAGCAATGGGAGCATTACTTGTTACATCAAGATTTCGTTCTATGCAGCGATCACAAGGCGTTGCAATACATTAACTCACAGAAAAGTATCAATAGAATGCATGCCCGGTGGGTAATCTTTCTTCAGCGGTTTACGTTCGTTCTTAAGCACAAGAGCGGCGTGCAAAACCGAGTGGCGGATGCATTAAGTCGACGGGCAGCCCTTGTAACTCAGCTCCAAACTGAGTTCTCCGGCATTGACTGTTTGAAAGAATTATATCCTCAGGATGATTACTTTAAAGGTTACTGGGACAGTTGCTGTAAGCAGGAATTAAATTCAGATTACTCAATACGCCATGGGTTTTTATTTAAAGGAAATCTTCTATGCATCCCCAGCTCTTCGTGGCGACAGCAGATTATCAAAGAAACACACGCCGGTGGGCTGTCCGCACACTTGGGAAGAGATAACACAGTCATACAGCTGCAGCAGCGATTCTTTTGGCCACACTTGAGACGGGATGTGTCTAAATTTGTGGAGAGATGCTCAATTTGTCAAACTTACAAAGGAGGAGGACAAAATACCGGCTTGTACCAGCCATTGCCCGTACCTGATTCAATTTGGGAGGATTTAAGCCTTGATTTCGTAATGGGACTGCCGAGGACCAAGTATGGAAACGATTCTATTATGGTCGTGGTAGATCGCTTCTCGAAGATGGCACATTTTGTCGCCTGTAAGAAGACCTTTGATGCATTAAACATTGCCAAGTTGTTTTTCAAGGAAATCGTAAGATTGCACGGAATTCCGAGAAGCTTGACATCCGATAGGGATGTTAAATTCATTAGCCATTTTTGGCGAGAACTGTGGAAAAGGTTACACACACAGATCCAGCTCAGCTCCTCCTATCACCCTCAGACGGACGGGCAAACTGAAGTGGTGAATCGAACATTGGGTAATCTATTGCGATGTTTAGTACAAGACAATCCTAAAATCTGGGATGAATTACTTGGTCAGGCCGAATTCGCATTTAATTCCATGACAAACCGCTCTACCGGTATGTGCCCATTTAGTATAGTCTATACTAAAATGCCAAATACTGTCCTCGATGTTACAGTGCTGCCCAAGTGTAAGAGCAAATCTGCGTCCGTGCTAGTAGACAATTATGCGGAATTTCTGGCCAACATCCGAGCAAAAATTCAAGCTGCTAATGACAAATACAAATTGTCGGCGGACGTGCATAGAAGAGAGAAGCTATTTAAGCCGGGAGATTTGGTATTTGTTAGGCTGAAACGAGATCGTCTACCTGTGGGAGAATACTCTAAGCTCGGGAAAAAGAAATGGGGACCGTTCTCTATAAAGAGCAAGATCAACGACAATGCATACATTGTGGATCTTCCGGAGGAGTTCAATACATCCCACACTTTCAATGTCAAGGATATATATGCTTATATGCCACCTGATGAAGGGAAAGCTCAAGTTTATTATGTTGATACAGATAACGATTTTAGCGGGGGCGAATGATGCGGTGCACTATAGCCTTATCGTGAGATGGGTAACATCTCATCCTTTTTTCTGCTTAAGCCGTTGCTGGTTTGATCTCCACTACCACTTTTATCCTTTATTAGTTATATAGTACAAAAAGCTACTTTCTGTTTTTACACTTTTAGTAGAATATGAATATTCTGATAGTATATGAGAAGTTCCTGTAGAGAGGAAGGCATCTTTTACAATTTGATCAATAGAATCACTACAGTTCTCTGTTATTGCTTGCTTGTTCTTCTGCTTGTTTTCAGCTTTGCAGGTGTTGCGGCATCAATTCTACATGCTTCCTTCATTACGGCAAGATACAGCACTCCCGCAGGATTGTAACTAATTCTGATTCTGCAACGATCACTTTACCTTTTTTGAGCATGTATACTGTATTATAGAAACCAGCGAAGGAAATCAAAATTATAGGAATGACTCTTACTATTTCGTGTATTCTTCTACTCTTCTTTTATGCCTTTTTTATTGCTTTACAGTTACATTAATATTCTGCATTACTTCTTCAGAATTATCACTGTCTTCATCATATCCGAGCAATTAAAGCTTAGAAGCTCTTCAACCGTCATTCCTAGTTACTCCGGTAACGCTGCTGTTCTCTGCTTTAACAGATGTTCTCTGTTTTATTACTTGTGTTTTTTGTGATATTGTTCTCTTCATTTTGTTCTTAGACACCATTTATTGGAGCAGTAGCTGTAATTTGATACTTGGAGATCTTCAATTTCATCAAAATTTCTATTTAACTAAAGGAATTTTTAATGAAATCAACTGTGAATATGGATATTGTAATACAAATCATTCTTCTCAAACAAAAATGTACCAGAGCTTGTAACGCACTTTATTTGTCATTGGCTTCATAGTAAATTTGTTAACGTTCGATCTCCGTATTTAACAAGCAAAATAAGACCTGCAACTTTACTTTCATTTAAGGTCAATGACTTGGTTTCCAGGAATTCTAAGCCTCACCAAAATGATTAATTATTATGTGAGAACGTCATTTTCAAATCAATCAGAATGCATCATGTTATCCTTTTGTTCGATACCGTGGCTTGATACCACTAATATGATGTACTCTGATTAGTCACCAAAGGCATTATGTGTCAGGCCTCTGCTCAAAATAATTTCTCTATCAAGAGGGCATCCATTGGCATCCATTAAAGATTCCCAATGAAAATTCAGAGAAAATTCATCAACGAATAATTAGCCTCTATTGACTAGAGAAAGACTTTGGCAAGAGTCTTCTCCTCATTTGGAACCGCAGAACCTTATTATAGTTGTTAGCATGATTAATACATATTCATGGCTTTCCTCTTCCTCCTATTCTTGATCGCCTCTCCGGCAACGGCAGACTTTCCTTCCTATATCTGTGGCAACAGTGCAGAAAACTTCATCAGCAACAGCACCTACAGCTCAAACCTCAATCAACTCTTCTCAACTCTCTCTTCCAACGCTTCAGCCACTGGCTTCGCCACTTTCACCGCCGGCAGAGTACCTGACCGCATCTATGGACTAACCCTCTGTCGTGGTGACACCGACATCCCCAGCTGCCGCTCCTGCATCTCCACCGCCATGTCCGACATCCAGCAGCTCTGCCAATACAACAAATACGCCAACATATGGTACGATAACTGCCAACTCCGTTACTCCAACCTGGATTTCCTCTCCGCTCCCGACGTCTCCTCAAACATCAAGTTCTCCGTGCATAACACCCAAAATGTCTCGGCAGACGAACTTTTGAGGTTCGAGAGTCTAACCTGTCTGTTGATTGGCAATCTGTCTGATTTCGCAGCGAGAAACGCGTCCCGTCTGTTTGCGACGGGAACGGCGGTGCTCACGGCGGGGGACACTATATACGGACTGGTGCTGTGCGCACGGGACCTGTCAGTAGGCGAGTGTATGAAGTATTACATGACTACATGCTTCCTTCATTATCGCAAGATACAGCACTCCCGCAGGATTGTAACTAATTCTGATTCTGCAAAGATCACTTAACCTTTTTTGAGCATGTAAACTGTATTACAGAAACCAGAGAAGGAAATCAAAATTATAGGAATGACTCTTACTATTTCTTGTATTCTTCTACTCTTCTTTTGTGCCTTTTTTATTGCTTTACAGTTACATTAATGTTCTGCATTACTTCTTCAGAATTCTCAGTCTTCATCAGATCCGAGCAATTAAAGCTTAGAAGCTCTTCAACCGCCGTTCCTAGTTACTCCGGTAACTCTACTGTTCTCTGCTTCAACAGCTGCCCTCTGTTTTATTATCTTTTTTTTTGTGTGATATTGCTCTCTTCATTTTGTTCTTAGACACCATTTATTGGAGCAGTAGCTGCAAGGCAGTTTTGAGTCAGACCACAATGATCTTGATACAATTGGGGTTCATCTCTTTGAACAGCACTATCTTTATCATAAATCTATCAATAACGTAGTTTAGATGACCTTAAAATCAATTATGAATTCTATAGTTCAAGTATGTGATACTTGGAGATCTTCAATTTCATCAAAATTTATATTTAATTAAAGGAATTTTTAATGAAATCAACTGAAAACATGGATATTGTAATACAAATCATTATTCTCAAACAAAAATGTACCAGAGTTTGTAACGCACTTTATTTGTCATTAGCTTCATAGTAAATTTGTTAACGTTCGGTCTCCTTATTTAACAAGCAAAATAAGACCCGCAACTTTACTTTGAGGAAAGGTCAATGACTTGGTTTCCAGGAATTCTAAGTCCTACTAAAAGGATTAATTATTATGTGCTGACATCATTTTCAGATCAATCAGTATACATCACGTCATTCTTTTACTCGGTACTACAACTCGATACCACTGATATGTCGCACTCTGATTGATCACCATGCCAGCTTAGAATAATTTCTCCACCAAAAAGGCATCCATTAAAGAATCCCAATGAAAATTCAGAGAAAATTCATCAATGAATAATTAGCCTCTATTGACTAGAGAAACACCTTGGCAGGAGTCTTCTCCTCATTTGGAACCGCAGTACTTTATTTTTGTTGTTAGCATGATTAATACATATTCATGGCTTTCCTCTTCCTCCTAATCTTGATCGCCTCTCCGGCAACGGCAGACTTTCCTTACTATATCTGTGACAACAGTGCAGGAAACTCTTAAGAAAATTTTGACTGTTGTGTAATTAAATATTTACATATATAAGAGTTATATAGTATATATTTATATAAATCTCTTAAGAAAATTTATGTACGCTAGTATACAATGTTCTTACAATATTTTTTTGGGGGTACTATGAAGACTTTTTTCTCTAAGCTTTCTCAAATAATAAATTTAACAATGCAATGCAGGAAGCAGTAAGTTGGGCAGTATTTTGGCAATCACAATTCCTGCAGTACTGGCCTTTGTCTTAATTGCCATTATTTGCATATGCTGCAGGAGAAGAATGTTAAAGACAAAGGAACTTGGTAAGTTTTCTCTGTTGCTAATGTCTAGGTTTTTAATGTGAAATCTTTTATGTAGAATGAAGTTAAACTTTTAAATATCCATATGAATTCGGGGTATAATAATGCTGTTTTATTAAAAAAAATTAAAATTAAATGTGCTGTTATGGAAGCACTCCGAAGATGATCGACCTCCTAAAGTCAAAGTGAATAATATCACGATGTTCAAGAATTTGAGCTGTTACATATTGATTTTAGGATTTCACTACAATAGTATTGAAATTAAAAGTAGCTTAACAACTACCGCAAATCTATGTTCATGATGAATTGAAGGTATTTTATTGCATGTGTTGATCATTTTTGGAATTTGATCAATAAGAAATAATGCATGATAATTTAAAAATAAAAAAATAATAATAATTGGAAAATTTTGTCTTCAATTTTAGGTGAAGCTGGCTTTGAAGAGATTACAAAGGCTGAATCTTTATTATTTGACTTATCTCTACTTAAAATAGCAACTGAAAATTTTTCGGAGGTCAATAAGCTTGGTGCAGGTGGCTTTGGATCAGTTTACAAGGTAAATGTTAACTTGCATTTTTCTACATTTTTCTCTCGAACTTTTACCATACAAAAATATTAGTTAACAATTCTTTTCTTTTGATCTTCTACAGGGAATACTACCAGATGGTAGAGAAATAGCTGTTAAGAGGCTCTCAACAGGATCTGGGCAAGGCCTTGAAGAGCTAAAAAATGAATTGGTTCTGATAGCTAAACTCAAGCACAAAAATCTTATAAGACTTCATGGTATTTGCCTGGAAGAACAAGAGAAGTTACTCGTATATGAATACGTTCGCAACAAAAGTTTAGATACCATTCTATTTGGTAATGTTTCTCGAACATTTGTATTATATCTAAACTAATCACTAGTAAAATTTCATCATTGTATTGGATGTCAAATTTCATTTACTCTCTTACATAAACATAGTGCAGGTTTTTTTATCATTATTATCAAATTGAATTACCAGTATTATAATTTCACACAATACTTAATATTTATATATTTGTATGTGGACAGATCCATCTAACAGTAAGCTACTAGATTGGGTGAAAAGATACAAGATAATAAGAGGGATTGCAAGTGGTCTACTTTACCTACATGAAGACTCTCGAATAAAGATTATTCATAGGGATCTTAAAGCTAGCAATATATTATTAGATGCAAATATGAACCCAAAAATTTCAGACTTCGGTATAGCTAGACTTTTTGGAGGAGACGAGACTCAAGGGATGACAAGTCGTGTTGTTGGAACATAGTAAGCTTAATAAATCTTCAAAAGTCTTACTAATTTCACTATTTTTACTAGAACGACATCATGAAGTCACAAGCTTCTTGCAGTGGATATATGGCTCCAGAATATGGAATGCATGGACATTTCTCAGTCAAGTCTGATGCCTTTAGTTTTGGAGTACTAGTTTTAGAGATTATGACAGGAAAGAGTAATAATAGTTTCTTCAATTATGATCTTTCAGAGAACCTTTTAAATTATGTATGTATCTCCTTTCAATACTTGAAATATATTATGTATATATATTTTTTTATTTTAGAAGATAACCATTGGTATTTACTTTGAAAAGGTATGGACGAATTGGCAAAAGGGAACGGTGTTACAAATTGTGGACCCAGCTTTAGCAAATCTTTTTACAAGAAATGAAGTCATGCGATGCTTTCAAATTGGACTTTTATGTGTGCAGCAAGACCCATCTCAAAGACCTACAATGACAAGAGTGCTTGTCATGCTCAACAGCTATTCTATGTCCATTGAAGATCCTTTAGCGCCAGTATTTTGTGGGGAGACATAGCATCAACAAAGATTAGTTTTTAAAGAAAATATAAATATATGATAAACTTTTATAAGAATTTTTATATGTTAAGTAAATATATGAATTTTTATAACGTTACATTATATATAACGTTACAAAAATTGTGTTTTAACAAAAAACACAATTAATTTCAGATAAAACGCCATCATTTAGTGCGTTGTTTATCCCTTTTAAATTAAATTTATATCATGTTGTCAGTATGATCAGTACCCTAGACATTACGCAAATATTATAAAACCCAAGAAAGATATATTTTTATTTATATCTTGTTATATATTTATTTGAATTAATATTGGAGATCAGTGTTTAGAAGTCTACACCATACTCAACAAAACCCTTAACTTGCCGACAAGCAAATTCAACTCCTTCACCTTCATGGGGAAACTATCTTTGATGTCTAGGGTTTTCTTCTCCGCTCCGTCTGTGCTCTGTCTTTGCTTTAGTCGGGTAATATTCTTCCTTCTTCTTTAAATCCTGTGGGTTTTTTCCTGATTTTCTTCCTTCAACCGATTTTTTGGTTTTGATGACTGCGAAGTGTTTGAGTGACCCCAGATTTTTGGATGGGAAGCCCCCAATCGAGATACTTTAAGCATGTTTTGTCTGTCACTACGACTTCTCTGGAGTTTTCTCTAGTTAAAATTTCTTCGCGTCATGGATTACTAGCTTTGTTAATTTCAGATGAAGAAATGGTTTCTCTTCCTGTGTCTTTTGAGTTTGCACTGGTTGGAAAATTTTTGGGGCGTTGTCCACCTCTCGATGCAATTCAAAAAAAAATTTAAACCAAAAACTCTTTAGTGATTTCTTTGTTAGTTTGTTAAATCCAGAAAATGTGTTGATTAAATTAGTGAATGACTTAGACTACAAAAGGTTTCTCACCTCTTCAACTTTGTCAGCAATTATTTTATAAAGCTTTTTAAGTGGACTCCTCATTTTGATGTTAATGTGGAATCCCCTATAATTTCTATACGGGTTTCTTTTCCCAATCTTCATCCATATATATTCTCCCCCATGCATTCTGCATGGTTTAGGGTCTGTATTTGGCTACCCCTTAAGATTGGATAATACTACCTTTAGTGGCACAAGGCCTTCGATTGCTCATATATTAGTCAAGTTAGATGCCACTAAATATTATCCTAATCAAGTTTGGCTGGATTCTGAAACTATGTGTTACATTCAATCTATGGAAATGAAAGAATTTCTCTTATTGCTATCACTATAAAGCTTTGGGGCACTTAAAAGTTGAATGCCCGGTTTTGCATCCTTTGGCTAGTGATCCTCATGTTTAGTGAGCGTGAGAGATGTGGCTGATATTTCTTTGCAACCTAGTTAGGGTCTCAATGATCCTCATGTTAATGTTGTGGCTGGGGTTTTGCCTCAAGATTTGGATTGTGCTATTCTTGCTAATGTTGGTGATGTTTCTCATTTGGCTCATGATGAGGGACATGAGGATGTGCTTGTTTCACCTCTGGATAATTGTGATAATTCTATTCAAATATTTGGTGGTGTTATTTTCCCTATTGTGTCTTGGGGAAGTTCGGAGTTATCTCTCGGAGTTGCAATGGCTAGTATTAATGTTGTGGGGGCTATTTATAATACTTTGGTTTATGATGATGAGGTTGTAGGTTATGAGGTGGATTGGGATATTTTTTAAGCTAACTTAATCGTGGATAATGAATTATCTGGTGATGTGGATTCTGTTGATTCGCTAATGGTTGATGTTCGATCGCCCTCTCAATTGGGTTCGAGTGGCGTTGATCCCCTTGTTGATATGCCTATTGATATGATTTCTCCTAATACTCTGAATGCTCAATTGATTTCTAGATCCGGGGACACTTGTTTGGACCAGTCGGATTGTCTAGATGAGTCACTTGCTTCTCCTTGTGGGGTTGAGGATGATTTGGGGGTTGGGCATGATGAATCCTAACGATTTGTATGAGCTTGATGTTTGCAGAGTAGTTGATAATTCATTTTCTCATGTGGGTAAGCGTCGTAGATACAAATAAAAAAAATAATGATGTTTGTCTTTGGTGGTTGTTATGAGTTTGATTGTGGTACCTTATATGGGCTGTTCTTGTGGCTTTCATGCGAGAGTTACAGGGTTGTTTGTCTGCCATTGTGGTTGGGGCACGCTAGTGTGGTTTTGCCCTTGGTTGTGTCTAGTAGCTTTGTGTGTGTTGTGTTTCGTTTCAGTGACTTCATGGTAGTTTCGTTGGGCTTTGTTTGGGTGGCTATTGGATGCCATGTATACTTGACTCTCTTCTCTATGTTTGTGCATGTCTATGATGTGGCTATGGCGCTTGTTCCTAATTGGATGCCATTTTTGATCGTCTAAGGGCATGTACTATTATCGTTTACGGAAAGTGTAGGCCCCAAGTGAGGGTTTTCTCAAAAAAAAAAAAAAAAAAAAAAAAAAAAAAAAAAAAAAAAAATGTTTTTTTGTACTATTATCGTTTACGGAAAGTGTAGGCCCCAAGTGAGGGTTTTCTCAAAAAAAAAAAAAAATAATAAAAAATAATAATAAAAAGAACTCTACAACCTTCATATCTCTCTCCTCCTTCACTCTCCCTCTCCTCTTAATTATTTCTTAGGAAAATGAGGGGGCTAGGGTAAGTTAGGATGGATTTGAATTTGATTTAGAAATTTTATTTTTTAAAACATCATTTTTAACCTAGCGTAGCGGTTCTCACTTTTCCCTAGAACTGCATCACCTCAACAGAATGTTTCAGATTCTCCTAGATTCCTCTAAACCAAGAGCTTACCATAATGCCCCCCTCCAATTTCTGTAGCACTCCCTCAAATCTTATTTCTAAATAGAGAAGACAACGCCATAGCGCCACCACTACCAACACAGTGGCGCTCTAAAGAGCATTTGGCCTCTTATGATTTCCTCTCCTCCACTTTAATCTTTAAATTTATTTAAAGTTAATTGGATACTATAAGACTTACAACTAATAACTAAATCTGAGTTAGTGGAATTCATACTATATTAGTTCAATTAGTTGGGTCCTCGAACAACATATATTATAGAATCAATGATAAATTAGGATTAATTAGAATTTGATTAAATAAATGAAGATGATTTTTTCCTATTAATTTGATCAATTGAGATCAAATTGAACATGAGGGGCTGGAGCCACAAGAACGGGCGAATCTGTGGGTTTAAGTCGGAGACAGGAGTCAAGGAGATTTGAATTGTGGGAGGTTGGACGGTAGGTTTTGGGACATGGATCCACCTTTCGAGAAGTGTTTGAAAATTCTAGAAAATAGGTACAATAAGTGATCTATTGTTCCTAAGGCCTAATTTAACTAATATGATCCACATCAGATTATATATTCATCTATGGTTAACTCTTATTTAATATAGGCTAACGTTGAAATGGGAGTATTTAGCTAAACTAAGCTAAGAAAGAATTCTATATAATAAATAGAACTGATTGGAATGAAAATGAGGTTGATGTGGATAAATACTTGAAAATTTTTAGGCATAAATTAGAGCTATAAATAGGGGGTTGAGTTATTTAAATTTTATATGAATGATATTTAAGACGTAAATTTTTGAACTCATCTAGAACGAGCAATAAGCAAACATCAAGAAATTGACATTTTTTTATGTCAACCTTGATCTCCTTCCTTTGATCATCTGACACCAGAAAGTCATGTTTTCATCTTATTTATTTTATAATATAGTGGATTGGTGAAAGAAATGAACCTTGGAATGAACAACCTCAAAGCTCAAAATGATATCATATTCTTCATCTCTCCTTATTTACATAAGATTTTATATAACATAGAAAAAAGAACATTATAGAAAGCCATAAAAAATAAAAAAATAATAAAAATATGCTATTCCTCTTCCTCTTCTTTTGTTACCCTTCCCTTCTCCTTCTCTTAATTTTTTTTAAACACCCTCGTTTTGCTTATAGCGTTTGGAAGAGATTAGTTATTTTTAATTTGCACTAGATTAATCTATTTGATATTTAATGTTCATGTTAATATTAAGTTAATATATATTTTATTTAACAGCAGGCACATTATTTTATATTTTAAATATTGATAGCTTAAAAGAAATTATATTGATTCACAAGGTTATGTCAATTTATCCATCGGATTTCATAGTATCGGGGTGTGGCGCCCACATTTTAACTTGACAAGCAAAAACGGACCCGCAACTTGACCTACATGAATGGTCTAATACTTCGTTTCCTGGAATTCCATCCCCACCATAAGAACGTTCATTAAAGACCTCCCAATCAAATTCAGCAATGAAGAATTTGCTTCTGTAATTACCCATCCCCCATACGCACCCAAAAAAAAAAAATCGCTTCTATTGACTAAGCAAGACAGCAGAACGTCATCAGATTTGTTGTCAGTATGATCAGTATCCAATCCATGGCTTTCTTCTTCCTCGTCATCCTATCCCTGTTCGCTTCTCCGGCAACCGCAGATCCTCTCTACAAGATCTGCGGCAGCACAGGAAACTTCACCAGCAACAGCAACTACAGCTCCAACCTCAACCTCGTCCTCTCCACCCTCTCCTCGAACGCCTCCGCTACCGGATTCGCCACCTTCACCACCGGCAGCATCCCCGACCGCGTCCACGGCCTTTCCCTCTGCCGCGGCGACATCAACGCCGCCAACTGTCTCTCCTGCATCTCTGTGGCCACGTCCGACATCCAGCAGATCTGCCCAAACAGCAAGGACGCCATCATATGGTACGACTACTGCCAACTCCGCTACTCCAACCAGGACTTCATCGACGTTCCCGACATCTCCTCAAACATCAAGGTTTTCATGATTAACTCCCAAAATGTCTCGGCTGATGAACTTTTGCGGTTTGAAATTCTAAGCCCTGAGCTGATGGGGAACATGTCCGATCTCGCGGTGAGAAACGCATCGCGGCTCTTCGCCACCGGAGAGACGGCGCTGAGGGCGGGGGACAGCATATACGGACTGGTGCAGTGCGCAAGGGATCTTTCAGTTGGCGATTGCCGCACATGCCTGCAGGGGACGGTGGATCAGATCAGCAGGGATCCTATGAAAGGGAAGAGGGGAGGAAGGACGGTGGGGATATGGTGCAATATGAGGTATGAGTTTTACAAGTTCTACAACGGCACTTCGATGCTGCAGTTTTCTTCTGCTCAGCCGCCGTCGCCTCCAAATGGGTCTTCAACGGCGAATAGTACCCGCGCTGGGGCGGATTCATCTCAAGGAGGTACTACTGCTCTAAAGTTTATAATTTTGGAGAAAATTCTATACTGGAGTGAAAAAAAAAAATAATGAGTTTTATTGATGGATTTGAAACTTTTCAACGCTAGCCTTTATCAGATCAATATATTGTGGACTCTGTAGCTTATGCGAATTTGCTTTACAATAATTTTTTTAATGTGCATAAAGCTAATGTTGTTGGTATGATTTTTATTAAATTTGTAGTACGGCTTAAAAGAAAATATTAAAAAATTCTGTTTTTAATTAAAATTAGTTTAAGCAACATATTAATAAAAAATAAAAAAAATAGCAAATAAGAAACTTAATAAAAATCAATAATTCATTATCCGATTTTTATTTTTGTCGAAACGGCAATAGCGACGTAAGTAGAAACAAGTTCCAGTTTCTATTGAAACCTGATAATGGAGTTCCATATTTGCTCCTTTTAAATTTTTTTTTAACCTGCTTCTTAAGCTAATTTAAGTTTAAAACAAGATCCTTTTCATAAATTGGCCTATTTCTTTATGGTCATTAATTTAAATATATATTTTACCTTAATTTTATTGCTTATTATTTAAAAAAATTCTTATAGGGGCTGTGCCATTATCCCTTAATCGCTTCTAATGTTGGTTTAATCAATAGAATTAATCAAGCAGGCGATTTGAGTTTGGTTACAATTTTCCTTAAGCAATAAACAGTTGTTATGCAATTGAATTTGCTAATCTTTTCTTTAAAATAATAAATTTAACACCACAATGCAGGAAGCAGTAAGCTGGGCATTATATTAGCAATCACAATTCCTGTAGTAGTTGCGATTGTTCTAATTGCCACAATTTGTATATGCTTTTGGAGAAGAAGGTCAAAGACAAAGGTGCCCGGTAAGATTTCTCTCTTGCTAATGTCTAGGTTTATATAGTTTAGAGTTTTAATACAACAATATTGAAAATGAAAACAGCTTAGCACCTATAAACTCCCATGTACAATTTTCCTTAATCAGTTAAAACCGCTGTAAAAAGCCGTTCTAGCATCGGTTAAAACCACTGCGAATACCGATCTATAGCACCAGTTCGCCAAAAGCCGCTATTAAAGGCTGCGAAAACTTCATGTTTTTAGTAGTGATAATGAATTGAAGTTAGCATGATTGCATGTGTCAGTCATTGTGGGAATTCAATCCGTAGTAAGGAATTCAAATATATATCTATAATCTTTTGTAGGTGAGGCTGATCCAGAAGAGATTACAGAGGTTGAATCTATATTATTTGATTTATCTACACTTAAAGTAGCTACTGCAAATTTCTCAGAACTCAACAAGCTTGGTGAAGGTGGCTTTGGATCAGTTTACAAGGTAAAATATTTCCTATATTTTTCTGTTAACCTCTTACTTGATAGAAAAATTTGTTAGTTTTTTTCTTCTTTTGACTTCACAGGGAATATTACCAGATGGTCAAGAAATAGCAGTTAAGAGGCTCTCAAGAGGGTCCGGGCAAGGTCTTGAAGAGCTAAAAAATGAATTGGTTTTAATAGCTAATCTCCAGCATAGAAATCTTGTAAGAGTACATGGTGTTTGCCTGGAAGATGAAGAAAAATTGCTCATTTATGAATATGTGCCCAACAAAAGCTTAGATACCATTCTTTTCGGTATGTTTCTAGTACTTGTTTTTTATATACAAATTTATACCCCAAATAAATCTTCGTCATGATATTCAATGTCACATTTCATAAACTTGGTGCAGAACTTTTGCTTTCTTTAGCATTATCATCAAATTGACTTACTAGCTAGTCTTATTGATGCATGCAATGCTTAATATTTTTATATATTTGTATGTGGGATAGATCCGACAAAAAGTAAGCTACTATGTTGGGTGAAAAGATATAAGATAATCGGAGGGGTTGCTCGTGGCCTACTTTACCTGCATGAAGACTCCCAACTGAAGATCATTCACAGGGATCTTAAAGCTAGCAATATATTGTTAGATGCAGAAATGAACCCAAAAATTTCAGATTTTGGCATGGCTAGGCTTTTTGGAGGAGACGAGACTCAAGGAATGACAAATCGCATTGTTGGAACATAGTAAGCTAAATAGATCTTGCAATTTTACTTATTTCACTTCTTAGATTAGAACAATATCAAAATCATGAGTTTCTTGCAGCGGGTATATGGCTCCAGAATATGGAATGCATGGACATTTCTCAGTCAAGTCTGATGTCTTTAGTTTTGGAGTACTAGTTTTAGAGATTATAACAGGGAAGAGTAACAATGGTTTCTTCAATTCTGAACTTTCTGAAGACCTTTTAAGCTATGTATGTATCTCCTTTCAATGCTTTAAAACAAATTACATGTTTCTGTTCTAAACCGTATGAATTTGTTGATTGACTTTGAACAGGTATGGGAGAATTGGAATAAGGGGACTGTTATAGAAATTGTAGACCCAGCATTAACCAAACTTTTTCCTAGAGATGAAGTCATGAGATGCATTCAAATTGGACTTCTATGTACTCAGCAGGACCCATCTCAAAGACCTACAATGACAACAGTGGTTGTTATGCTCAACAGCTATTCTATGTCTATTGAAGCCCCTTCGGCCCCAGCATTTTTTGTAGGGAGAAGTGGTATCAACACAAATGAGTTTTCAAGAAACTCTGACATTCATGAAGATGGGACTTACAAATCTTCAAGCATGACGGTGCCAATGTCACCTAATGAAGTGTCAATTACAGAGATAGATCCTAGATAACTAGTTCAAAAACATTGAAAAAAAACAAGTTAGGTTGTATATTTCTAGAGTATTGTAAGAAAATTGTAACATGGGCTTATTTTAATGCATTTTTATGTCTACATATACTTATAACTAAAGATAAATAACATGTTAGAACATCATTCATAAGTACAAAATAAAAATCTTATAAGTATCATACAATAAAAACAGTAAAACTTTATCCCACTACGTGAGATTGACTACATGAATCATTTTTCTTCATTGTCATATTAAGAGTCAATCTTAAATGTATCATATAATGATGTGAAACATATATGGAAATACGAATTGCTTAAGAATTAATAACAAGTTGATAAACTTTAATAATTTTAAACTCAATGTTTCACCAAGTTAGGAGTCTAGGATTTCTTAGTTGCAATTTGTTTTGGCATGCGGTTACCAGAAGGATTAACAAGACAATTTTAAAATAAGAACAAAAGCGTAGTAACATTTGCTGCAAAATAACAAAATCCATTGTTTAACAAATAGAAAGTTCACATCGTGTTCCCCTCACTATCACTCTTGATGGTGGGGGTTTGCAGAAGAATAATTTCAGCAAGCCTAGAGATGCCACCAAAAGAAAGAGGACGCCTACGGTCTTGCTCAACGAAGAGTTAGCCAGATGGTAAGAAGTTAGTGGATGTCTGATGATTCATCAATGCCCGGAGAGTTGGTGTTCTTCAATAGCAGACGTCAAGGTGAATAGGATGCGCTCGACATAGTCGTCAACAATGTCGTCGATTTCCAAATTGAGGTTGAAGAAGGGAGATTGTAAAATATCCACTAAGCCATGATGGTCGTAGATGAATTCGTAGTCAAGCTCAGGATTGGCCATCCATGGAGGGAAGTAGACCAAGTAATAGTGTATCTTCTTCCTTGGGTTGTACGTGTAGCAAGGGAGTAGGGAGGTAATGGAGGAGAAGGGATGGTGGGTTTAAACCAAGACTAGGGGAAGGGCCAACTTTGAACTCAGATTTTTGTTAGTTTGGTGGAAGGGACATAAACTAAAATATGAAATTTAATTTCAGAATTTTAGTATGGAAAGGAGAGGGTAAATTTGAAATTTGAATGTCGACTAATTGAGGATTATGTGGGGCGGCTTTCCTTGGGGAGAGGGCTTTACTTGAGGGCCTTAATGGGGAGGAGTTAATTAGGGAGAGAGGGAGAGATGGGCCGGCCTAATGGGGAGGGGAAAATATGTCCACATACAATGTATGTGGGCCCATGCATTAATGGTTGATGGGAAAATTAAATATGAAATTTAATTTCAAATTGAGGGGATTAAGGAGGTTTTCTAAATTAGATTTATCAATTAAGAAATAATTTGAAATTCAAATACTTTTGAATTCAAGTTAAGAGACTTTCCAAATCAATAATTGGATGCTTTAGGAAAGTGTTTATAAGGCAATTTGAATTTGAAATCAAGGGTTTGGAGCTAGGTAGGCAACCGACTAGAGATGTGGTTGGGTGGGTTGGCTGTTAGGGGAGGGAAGGTGGGTCTTGGGTTCAGTGGGGAGGGATTGACAGTGGAGCTAGGGTCATGGGTTGGATGCGAGAAGGGGATGCCTGTTATGGAGGAGATGGAGGGGAAGTTGACCGGCGGTTTTGGGGTGGAGTTGGGAGAAGGCCAACGGGTATGAAGAGGAGGAGGAGTTGGCTGGTGGTGGGAAAGAGAGGAAGTGGAATAGATAATAAACATGGATACAAACCGCGAGCCCAGCCTCTACTGGCAGCTGATGGGTGTTGCTTGGCCCTCTCCTAGGGTTCTCTCTGCTCTCAAGAGCTCACAAGAAAACAAGGAACCAAAAGTTGATATTTTCATTAATCAATCATTAACCCAATACAATGACTAAAGCCTTAATATATATGCCTCAAAAATTAAAAAAATAAAATAAAAGACTCAAATACCCTCAGGGTTACAACATAAAAGAAATCCCTCACAGGGGTAAAATGCAAAGACTGAAATATAAATAGAAGAAATACATAAATACTTCCTAAATAGAGACTCTGAATCGTAGCCGTTAATTTATGATTCTTCCGATGGTAGACAGGTCAAAATCTCCTGATGATGTCCCCATCATATAAATATTTAAAATTTATGATTACATGTCATTCTATTTTGATCGTTTTTCTTATATTCTAGATGTAAGAACATATAGAACTTATTACTCTTTTTTTATTTCCAAGCCTAATGACTATACTAAATATCCAAGCATCTAGGCCCTAAATGCCAAATGCTTTCATCTATTCAAAGAACTTTTTTTTTCTTTTCAACCTCTTTACTTGATTTGATAATCTATTCAAAGAACTTAATATTGAATAATGATTTAAAATTGTTTCATGGAATGTATAAAATTTGATGACAAGAGAGAAATAAAAATAATGTAATGAGACACATAAGTGTAGAAGTATTGAGCACATTCTTATTAATAGATAACACAAACATGATAATTAATATAATAAGATTATACTGAAAAGGCACCACAAAAATGGCAAATAATTTATTGATTTAGAGGAAGCTAATAATAGAACCTCATGGTGATATTAAGTGTTAAAAGTAACTCATATTTTTTAAATAGCAAGAGCTTGGAAAAGGTAATTAAGCAAGTAAAAATATCACCTTAATATTCATTACCTATATGAGATTTTTTATCAAATTGCCTCTCTTTATCAGTACATATTCTTGTCCATTTGAAGTAGTGTTGTGCCCTTTATTTGTTTTTTTACCTTAGAACTGAGCCATCTCTACATTCCATAATCAATGCCCTTCATGATCTTTACACTCACATGCACATGCCAGCTTTCACCTCCTTCCTTATTTTAGCCTATTCCTCTCAAGCACCTTTAAATGGAGGGCCTAGCTAGTTTTTTTTTTAATAAAATCCAACATAGGGGCATACTCGTTAATTTAAATAAAGGGATATATGTTCTTACAAGGGGACCTAAAGCCACTAAGACTCAAAGAACTACAATCGAAGCACAACAAAACCTAATAGCATAAGATCCCTACTAAATACAATAAAACCTAAAGAAAAAGCTAAGCAGCAAATGGCGCACCATTCATACTACATGATCATGAAGCAATAGTAATGCTCTTTCTTTACAAGTTCATTAAATTTATATTCCTTCCTATTTTAAACACCTGACTCTTCATATTCTCATCTCCTTCTAAGTAGTCTATTCCCAATTATCTCATAGTGGTATACTGGTATAAGACACTATATAAAAATCGCCCATTACCGGTGGAAATCCCTAATTTTTTTATGGAATTGGATGTTTCTAACAACTTTCTGATGAAAAATATTCCGCCGGTAAAAGCTGTGTAGAAAATGAAATGTGACAACATTTTTTCCACCGGAATTCCAGTGGTTTTTTGGCAGATTCTGATTTTGTTGAGAACAACGGATAGAGTGGCGGAAAATAGCCAATCGTCGCAAAATTTTTTTGGTAACATTATAGACAATGAAGCTGCTGAAAAAGCCTGCCAATAATATATGCCAAAAAATTTTGGTGTCTTTTCACCCTTTTTTTTTTTTGCATTTTGTTACACCGCCTTGTATCAAAAGTTTCCGACAGAAATTCCGCTGGAAAGCCACCAAAAGCCTATAGAATTACTAAGAAAAAATGGAAGCCCCTTATTGTTCCACTATAACATTTAGGTTATAAACGTGCAATAGTTAATGGATGTATACACAATAATATATATCATCATACAACGTTACTACTTAAAACAATATAAAACCATTCAAAATATAAGTCTAACAACCTCAAAATTCAATTATTCAACATAAAAACTATTCAATTAAGTTTCCAAAACCCAACAATAAGTTCACTAAACCACTATAATAACTAAAACACAATAGTAAGTTTTTAAAATAAGTTCTTTAAACTACTACAACTTAAACATTAAGTTCTCTAATTATTTTTTGTCTCCTCGGTCCCCTCTGCTTCATGCTCAGGTTGCTAATCATTTTTCTTTCTATTTTGGCTTAGATATGATTGCAGTTTTGCATGTATCTCAGTTTGTTGTGTCAACATGTTAGCATATATCTATTTTATCTCCTCTATCTCTTTGGTGAGAGCAGTAACCCTCTGGATGACGATATCATCAACTCCACTATCACCAAAAGATGTTGAGATGGATGCATTGGTCTCATATGCATATGCCTGAGAATCTAATCCATACACCCTTCCCTTCTGTCTCTCTCTAATAGCTTGTGACCACGTGTGGTACTCAGAGTATTGCGTCGATCCTGAAGATGATCCCAAAGCAGTAGTAGCATGGCCCTCTCAACGTTATACAAAATTATCTTGTGAGAAACTAAGTCCATAAAATTTTATTTGCAGCTTGTTTTATTATCTCATCTTGGTGAACTCAGGGGTTGCTCAAGCTCTGGTCAAATCACCGCACACCCCCTCTCCAAGTCATAATAGATACTCCATGAACCTTCTAATATGTGTGAACATATCCCTAAGATGAGTTGAGCATCTTTTTCAAAATTAATTCTGATCCTCACACTATGCTCACACAATAATTTAATATATTTCTATACAACATTGGCATAATTAACAATATTAATATAAATGCAATAACAAATGTTAAGTAATGTCAAAAATATATGCATGAAATTCTCTGAACCACATATTCCTAACTTTCTTTGGAATTTTCTTTCAAGATAAATAATGAGCATCATATATGCTTTGTATTTTATCTCAAATCTTATGGGTGGCCTGCCTCCTGCCTCACAGGATTAAACTTGCAAATACTAATCTTTTTCATTTACATAGTAGATGAAATTACAAAATTTAATAACTAAATGAACTTATGTATCATCGAATGGGTGCGGAGCAGCTGTCAGATTCTTCTTTGGGAGAAAATCTGTGAAAATGAAGAAGAGAGGCAAGTTGGTGCTAAATAGGGCATTTTTTGATGAATTGTTTTCTTCAAAAATAAGTACTTGTCACCAGCAAGCAATCCGACAGAAAAAATGACAAGAGTAGCAAAACATCGACATAAATTTAAGCAAAAAATTGCCATCGGAATTTCTACCGATATTTGATAATTTTCCTGCAGTTAGAGTATG